TTAATTATGTGCAGCATATTATACCAAAATAATTTTCTTCCATTTTTATTTATCTGCTAGTGAGAGAATTCAACTTATCAATGTAATGTTTACCTACTGTATTGTCTTTTAAGAAAGCAAGATTCTTAGTGTTCCATTATCCAGCCTTATTTATAATAAGTGTAGATGAGAAACTAGTTCATTAAACATTTCAAAGTCATGCTCATGCTGGAAATTCACAAAAAAGTTACCTCAACAAGGAATATGGTGCTATCTTTCAAAATATTTTTAAAATCATTGATTAATCACACCAAAATAAATGTTTATGAAATACAATCATAAAAAAATGAAAGAGTTTGATCAACTGAAGTAATTTGCATGCTATAGAATTCTACAATGCATACTTTTCATGCTGGATTTTAATGTCAGTATCAAAATCATCCTCTTTGTTTCATTTACTTTAGCCCATGATTTCCTTACAAATCCATATAAACTGACCATAATTTCAATCTTTCAATCATCATGACCTCCTGCATTCCCTATGAAACATAATTAAATAAGACTATAAGAAATAAAGTTTCATGTCCTTCCAATCCAAGTTTAACAAAATGAAGTAAAATAACTTCCATGAGAACTAGACCCAATAAACACATGCATTTTATAATACTATGGATGGAGCCATGAACTGCATTGCATATTACTGTCTCCTTAATTTACTATGCAATATTTAATTTGAACAGGGAACCAAGGTAGTTCTGTTGCACGAACAGGCCAGATCCCTGAGCACTTACTCTAAAAACTCTGAAATACTTTATTTCTGTGAGCTTCAAATTTTGTGATTTGGATAAGAATTTGTTACCTGCCCAGGCCAGCCCAGGCTGACTGCCTCAACATGTCATTAAATGGAGCTTAGCTCCCAGTTTCTCTGCATGGTATAAATAAAAGTGTCAAGTGCAGTTAAAAATCATCCAACAACTATCTAAGGACCATCATCTCAGAAACACTGCTTTCTACAGGTATGAAATAGCATGAGCTGCAACAAGTTGGGACATACTTTATTTAATGTATACTACACTTAAGTATTGTCTATACTGCAAAAGATGAGTTTGACTTCTAAACACAAATAAAACTGGAACTGATTAGCTCACCTATCTTACATTACTGCTTTACTAAGCATATTGGTGTATTTGTTTTAACACTTGTTATGGAAACGATCTTCCATGCTGATTTTTTTTTACTATATCCTGATAAAATATTCTTTCTCGAATATGAAGGCATAATAAATATGCCAAGCTTCTGGCTTACAATCCAAATCTTTGAAGATGTTGATGATAATAAACACAAATGATTAGAAAGTAAGTCAAGCATAAGCATGATCATTTCATCAATATGTATCAATGTTACTCATTATAAAAAGACTCCAAGATTGTCTTGATAGAAGAAATTTTTTGAGTTTGATTCATGTCAGGTAACAAATATGGTTTAATCAAAACTAAATCAGAAAAATGGCTACTGGAGCAATGACAAGCTCTGCTGGTCAGAAAGATCAACTCCTTTCTCTGCATGCATTTTATTCAGGATCAAACTCATAAGTTCTCAATGATATAAGCATATACTTCAGGTCTGATCACAATTGAATCAGAACTGTATCCTCCAGAGCATTTACATGTTCAGCCAATCAGATGCAAGATCACCTCATTACTGGTTCAGAAAACATCCAGGAAAACCCGCAGTAAGAACCACCAGAAGCTACAGACAATATTTCGAAGATAACAAAACTAGTCAAAGCATCGACACAAACCCATGCAGGTGTAGATGAGACATAAGTCATCAGTAAATGCCAGTGCTTTCAACCACCCTGCTAACCAGGGACCACTTCTTATATGTATGGATCTTGCTCATTATCGAACTCATCTGCAATCTCAATGATAAAATCATGTATTCCAAATTTGATCAATATCAGATCTAAAATATGATCTCCTGAGTTGTAACAAAGTGAGCCAAGATTATCTCATTCATATGCATGGCTTTTTCTCATTTTCGAAAAGATCCTAAATCTTAAGGATATAAATCCATAAAAACAAGATTGAAATTGGATTAGAAATATGTACTCCTGCATCCTAACAACTAATTACTGACAGATGATGGACTCGGATATACCACAAGCTCCCATGGCTTTATGAACTAAATAAAAAGGTTGGACTAAAAAGAATGTCAAACAGCAAGATCTTTTCCATGCTACTTGTTCAAATTAGTTTTAATAATCACTAGCTGAGTGCATCTTGAATTTTAAAGTGTGTGATTGTGTGCATGTGTGTGTATGTATATATGTGTGTGTGTGTGTGTGTGTGTATATATATATATATATATATATATATATATATATATATATATATATATATATATATATATATATATATATATTGTAATTTACTATGATATTTAGGTGTAAGCACACAAAAGTGATTTTCTCCACATAATTCTGCCAGATCTTTAAAATCTGTCATTTCAATTCAGGAAGTACATTGGGAAAACAATCATTTACCTATCATTTACATTGCCAATCTTGGGATTTCTTCAAAAGGTTGACTAATTTTTACAAAATTGGAATCAATTTAATAGGGATTAGGAAAATTTTTTGAACCCATAAGGCTACCTTTTCAAAGCGATGTTCCTATCATGTAGCAAGAAGGTTTTGGTAATTAGAACATTTTAACAATAAACAGCCCCCATCAACCAAACCATAGTCGGAACCCAGACTAAAAAAGTAAATATCTGGTACCAAGCTTTTCGGAAAAGACAGCCATAAAAACATGGCAGTGGAATATGGACCTACCGCCATTCTCTGATCATGATATGCTATGGTAGCCAGAATTTCTAGCAGGAAGAACTGGGAGGATGTTACCTGGGGGAGAAAACAGACCAGCATACCATGTATTTCTCACTAAACTTGAGACTAGATTCCAAAAGGACAAAGCAAGATGGCAGTGATTACTAAAAAGGAGTTCTTTATACCACTTTGCCACATGAGAACCCATATAAACATGTAGCAGTAAGCTTGCATGTTTATCTCAGATGAAATAAAAGAATATTTGCAACAGAAGTCAAGCAGGAAACTTATCTGCTGAAGTAACCTACTTCACTGGGAAAGTAATGATTTCCTGTTGAATACATAAAAAGATTTGAGAAATCTAATGATCAAACAATATTAACCTTGTTTAAGGGTCCATAAAATTCATGGCTTTACTGAATCAAAATGTCTTTTTCATTATTAACAATCACCTGCTGAATGAACAAGTTAGTAAAAGGTGTACTACATTTGAGTTTGTTGACATTGAAAACGTGACCATGAATATTAATGTTGGAAAAAGAAGAAAAGGTCATCTAGAGATGACATACCCTCCTCCTTCCTCCCCCTACTGATTGCAAAGGTTTTAAATGAAACTACCTACAACATAGCCCTCAATTTTTATAAGTATTTTATTTTAAATATTCCTTATGCCTCACTTTGTTTCTATGCCAACAGCAAAATTACTGAATGCAGAAGAAAATCTAAATATCAAAAAGAGCCTCTATGCAAAAAGCCAGGCATGTGTACCAAGTTTGTTTCAAATATTTTTCAATTGTTTGAGTTGTGCCGTTAAAAAAAAAGATGGTATAAACATAATAACAATTTAACTTAGTGATTAAAGTGCCCACCTCAGATGTGATCGGTAGAGTCATACCAAAGACTTACAAGAATGGTACAAACAGCTGCCTTACTTTGCACTCTAGTGTTAGAACTGTTTGGCCTGTTTCAGGATAATGTGACTGGATGGGACATCATGTTATATGTCTGCAGCATGATGCCCCAGTGCTATACATCACTATATACTGCCACACTGCAGACATTGTAGAGATGAGACTGAAAATTTTTTTAAAGCTATGCTCAAAATCATAATCATATCTATTGTTGCCACCAACTCATAAACATGCATATACACTCTACCTTCACCAATACTATTGCTATTGTGTTTTTTGGACACACTAAAAGCTTTTCAGACATTCTGATTGCAGTCATGAGGCAGACTATATAACATATGAAGTAAAATGGTCATAACTTAACATCTGTCAACTACTGTCAGTACAAACTCTTAATTAACAGGGAGTAATGGAACCCACCCCACATTACTCCTTCCAATGTGGCTTATGTATTGTATGTACTATACACCATTGTTTTGTAGTAGACAACATTTTTCATTAGCAAAGCTCCTTAAATAAACAACTAATTTAGAAATCCTGTAGAGAGTGTGTGTGTGTGTGTGTATGTTGGATTTTTAATGTAGCTTTAACCATTTTTTAGTCTTATTGCTATGAAGTATAGAGTGTGGCTGTTTTATTATGATGTCTTGCACTGGGCACAGACACAGCATCATGTCCCTCTGTGTCACATTATCCTTATACCTGGCCAATCAGTCCTAATCTCTTATTGCTGAGCAACTAATGTTGCAGCTGTTAGAGCCAATTTTGTATGTCTTTGATATAACTCCACGGAGGTTCAAACCCATGACCCTCCACATCTGAAGTTGACGATCTAGCCACTAAACCACCAGAGCAGTGAATCCTGTAGTAAACTTAATTAGACAGATGATTATGATAAGCATCTCTCTGAACTGACTTTCAAAATAAAATAACTTCACTTTTGCATGTTTTGTGCTAAAAACTTTGGCGTGATTATCTATGCTCATGCAATAGACCAATTCTAAAGGATTTGTATAAGCAAGAATGACTAAATTTAATGGTGGTGGTGTTTATAATTTTTAACATAGCTTTAACAATTTTTCAGTCATATCACTACAATGTCTGCAATGTTGCAGTTTATAGTGATGTCTAGCACTGGGGCATCATGCTGCAGACATGTAGCATGATGTCCCACCCAGTCACATTATCTTAACACAAGGCCGACCAGTCTTAACACTAACCTCTTAATGATGAGCATCAAGCAAGGCAGCTGTTAGTACCATTTTTGTAAGTCTTTGGTATGACTCAACCTGGGATCGAGCCCATGACCTCCCGCATCCAAGGCGGATGCTCTAACCACTAGGCCACCGGAGTGGTTACCAAATTTAATAGTATTTAAAGGGAGTTCTCATTGTAAGGTAAATCAAAAAGGATGGGTTTTGCTGCAAGTTTTGCTGCTAATGTCATCTTTTTCAAGATACCACATATATGTATCTGTATATAGCCTAAATCCTGCTGATGGTTAGGAGTGCATATTTAACTGATAACTTTCAAGTACACATCAACTGGTGAAATGACACAGTAATTGCCCTTTTATCATTCTGATAATGCTTTACCATACATATACCAATAGATAACTACAGATGGTTTGATCAAAACTGTCAATCACTGGTACATTTTCTCTTTTTGTATACAGGTACAAATAAAATGAAATGAATTCAAGATAATATGAATGAAATCTACAAAAAAAATGTCATGGAAACTTGAGGATGTAAAACTGTAGTAGGTATGGTGCTAATCAGCAGATATACTAATTACTTGAGATAATTGATCTGTATTGGGGAATTTTAAGACCATAAGTATTATCATAGTTGTCCTCCATAATTTTGTTCAGAGTTTTAAGAATGGACTGTGAAAGGGATCCACATATTCTAGGGTATACATGCCTCAACACTCCCAAATTTGAACTGTCCATAAACTTAAACAGAAAAAAACAAAAGTGAAATCAAGCATATCTTCAGCCCCCAAACAATGTTGTATAACTACCTTGAAAATGTGCAAACTGCTGTGTCAAAAGCATATGAATTTAGTAATCTTTCTTTACTAGGTCAAAAAAGTCAGACCACATATAACTGGACAATGTCCCTTTACTAGGTCAGTATACATGTATGTTACCCAAGACTAACCAATAAGCCATCTTATACATCTTAATACAGGGTGTGGATAGAGGTTAAATGTATATCAGTCACATTTCATATCTGCCTAGCTGGAAACAAGACAGCAGTCACCACTATATGATCTAATTCTTATCATTCACTGATAGGTATAATCAGGGGTGAAACTGAAAGAGAATGAAATATACATGTAATATACCTCTCCTGTAACATATGGATTACACCAATATGGATCATGATTAAGACATCAAAGGTTCATTCTACTCATTATTGTCAAAAAAAGTTTCAACAATTTATAACTGTGACAAAATACCCACCTACAGAAGTGAATTTCTCTATAAAAACATATCCATCAACTTAATCCTACATAATCTTCCTTCTAAGTAGTTTGACCAACTTTGTCTACCCTTTCTGCCTCTTTCTGAAAAGATGCTAGTTCAATATGGCTGTTGACTGACACTATCCAACTCTGCATGCTAGATAGGCTGGCAGCTGCCTCATGGGAAGGTTCTCAATCCACTAACTTAACTCATTTTACTGCCTCATCCTAACTGCTTGTCCTACTAACATAATACCACTGAATCAGCCAGCCTTGCGGAACTGATAATTTACTGGCTGTCTCAACATGGGCCATGTGATCACCCCTGGTCTCAACTCTACACTAACAGGCATCATTCTCATGGCAACCAGGCACAGTTGTCTTGGCAACCCCATTCATTGGATAGTTTTAGCTATAGCTTAGGGCTCTAATTACTTCCCTATGGGGAAGTAGGATAATGCCTATCTAAGTACTCCAGTCAAACCAAGTAAACAATCTTATTCTGTTAAGCTCATAATACAATACTGACTGATTTCAAGACTGGTAACAAACAAAAGGAGAATAAGAAATAGGAAGCATTTAGCAAAGGAACTTGCCCTGAAAAATGGGGAATAAAAAGCAAGAAACAATCCTGGAACATGAGTCCCAAATCAGTATTCAAGCCTACCCCATTATTAACCCATCTAATTTCACTATTGTTCCTCCCAGACTAGTACACTTAAAAGCAATTGGGCACAATTTGCAAATATATTTTCTGGTGGAGTTTTTTCTCCAATACCATGAACATAAACTGAAACTTTACATCTACTCTAAACTTTCACAGCTGAACTCCTGTGAAAGAGAAAACTTTACTGTCACAAGTTTTACAATAACTGCAGACTTTAAATAGAAGTTTTATACAAACCTCAAATGATTATAATCAGCAAATAAATTAATTGCACTTACAAAATTGTGTTTTTCCCCAGAAGGGTTGTCCTCTGCCAAAATTTAGGAATGTTGATAAGATGCCATTTCATACCAGTCTGGCCTAGCTAGATGTGAATGTGTAACTGACCCACCTTACTTCCTGTAATGTATAATCTCCTCTGCTACTGTAACTATCTGAAATATATCGTCTGCTTACACTTTTCCCATCTTTAAAATTTTTGTCTACATATCATATCTGCTCATTATCTGTTCAAGGTTATCAGTGAAAACTTTTCCAGTGAAAGTTGGAAAGTACAAATTTCATTAAACTTTCATACAAAACCACTACTATAACAGATTGCAAGAAGTTAACATTATAAAATGTCATTACTTTTAAATGCTTCCAACCTACCCATAGCTCTATAATAGCTCTATAAACATTTAACAAGGATGTGTAATGGATAACCAAGAAATAAGACAAGGTGTAAATTTGTAAAGAAAATAAGAAAATGTAAGTAATTTTAAGTTTTATTTTCCTACATACACTGATCTACTTTAACTGGGTCACATGTATATGCATGCAAACATGTCTGCCAAATTTAATTTGTTTACCTCCTGTGTTTTGTTTAAATCAAGCTTTCAAATATTTTGTCATGCAAAGTCACAAAAGTTACAGAATATATATTTAACAAATTAATAAAAATAATAGAAAATTGTTGTGATTACCAACAATTTAATCAGACCATCTACATACAAACACAAATATGCTATAGCAAATCATTTCTATAATGAATGGTTTGTTGGATTTTTTTTTGCACAACCATGCTAACAAGTTTCTCTGAACAGATGTACATAGAAACAAACATGACCAAGTCAAGGCTCTCCTTCCACAAAGTATATAATGGCCATACACAATAAAATAAAAGACATAATATTGCTGTTTGGTAGCTCCAAACTGACTCTTATCCTTCAAACATAAATTTTAAGAGGAAATATTAATTTATAAATTACAAGTAATATTTCTTTTGCCTCCCTCCAGCATGCCAAAGAAACAATTTATATGCAATATATTATCTCCAAATATAAAAAAAAAAATGTCTTACCTCTAAATACTGAGCATAAGCATGTACATGTGACTAGATGTCTTGAGCTATGGCTGGCAAACATCATATTGCCCCAAGCCAACAATTTGTCAAGTGTTCAGTCACTCAATGTATTAACCAATAGAAAGCATGTTCCCATAGCAACTGTACACAGGCCAATCTGTCACCCCTGTCAAACTAGTAAGCCTAGAGTAACAGCTGTATGGAAATCTACAGCTGGGTTAGAGAAGTTAAAAAAGTAGTTTCAAATCCATATCACCATGACAACTAGTAAAGCACTCTGCAAGCTGCTACCAAGACTGTACCTCCAAGTTCAAATTCAACAATGCATTGTTTTGAATCAACTTCTCATTTCTTCCCTTAAAATCATTTCAATAAAATGAATACATGATTGGGATAAAAATGTATTAAAAATGAAGACAAATGTGCAGTTTGTGTGTGTAAGACTTTTTAAATTTTCAAAAAGTTGTACCAAACCAATAAATGTATGTTTTGAAGTTATTATGAAGAATTATATTTGTTAAGCACCTTAAACAGCAATTGTTGCATTTATATTTTTTGTAGATAATGTTTTGAAGTGTAACACAATCAATACAGGAAAAAAAATAACCTAAATAAAAAACAAATATACACCAAGACTATCAATTCGGTTTCTTTATTTGCAAGCCATGGCAGCTAAGAGCATCTGACTTGTAATCCAAGGTTCAATACCCAACCTGGATCTGCTGCCTTGGTATGTACTTGAGAAGAGCATGAAGTTCCTCCAAATAATATGGCAAATATGTTAAAATTGCAAATAAAACCTACAAAACAAAATACACTATTTGGGAACACAAGTGAAGTGTTTGAGAATACAAAATATGCATGACATAACCATCCATCGTTTTTGTTGTTGTTATTGGGCTTAACCCCATTTTTCAGCACACGATAGGCTATTCATGGTGGCCAGTATTAATGGTGGAGGAAGAAACGGAAATCACAGGAAAGAACCACCGACCCATGAGAAGCTACTGGCAAGCTTTCTCACATATCTACATTAGCCTTCTCACATATCTACATTAGCGAATACTAGACTCAACACACACAGACAGATGAGATGGCAGTGATCCTTAACGGAGAGTGCTTTAGACCACTCGGCCACTAGAGGCCCCTCCATCAGTTTTTAAGGAATGACTTTATGAAGCTAAGCTCTGGTATTTATCTTGTGCTGATGTTCCAGTTTGGAATATCTTTAACTTTTTATGATGCAGCTTTTATATATATATATTATAATGAATGGACTTCATATTTCAACATTTACCCTTTCTTGCCTTTATCTTTGTGTTGTATGCTTTCTTTCAATGCCTGTGATTACACTTCACTATAAAATCAGGAATGTTGCATTTTTACACTCTGTTTATCATGCAAAAATTATAATAGGGAGGAATTCACAAGTTGCTGTAATTTTTCCCCAATCAAATTCATCATTTTAGCTTAAGTTGTAACAATAATGTTCTAATTCTCCAATTGTGTATGGTGTAGAGGTTGTACAAAATTGCTAAAAATACTGCTTCATAATCTGACTTTATGATTGTCTTTTAAAACAGCAATCTAGCAGTTCAATACAGCTTCTGGACATTATTCTTAATTTTTTAACCATCTTGTTTTCAAACTGTACAAAGATATCCAAAGATTTTGCACAGCTAATCAGATCCATAGAAATGTAGCTTCCAGCATTTAATAAAAAGACAAGAGGCCCAATCTAACTTTAGATCTCTCACCTGGCTAACATATGCCTAATAACATGGCCAAGAAATGTAGGTCAGCAGGATACTCTTTAAAAATTTCTTCGTTATGTTTGTTTCCATATTTTTTGTACCTTTATCAATAGATG